TGCTTGATTATCCTCTTGCGCTCGTGCGGTGTAGTGTAGAGCGGCCGGAGCAGACGGACGTGGTCCAGCATCTTGAAGCGGGTCAGCAGCACATACAGGGTGGCGCGCTTGATGCCGTTGGGTGGGACAGCGAGATCCACCAGCCAGCACTCGTCTTTGAAGCTGCGGCCTTGCACGAAGTAATCGGTGACCGCCTGGCGGTCGCCGAGCGGCACGTTCAGGCGCCGGATCTGCTTTGTGATGGTGCCGTACCCGGCGGCAGGCATCTCCACCTCGGCAATGCAAGACGCCCGGGGTGACAGGATGAAGGCACCACCCCTGCTGGCGTAGTCTCCAAGGCCCTGCAGCACGGTGCCGGGGATGTGGCCGCTTATAGGCCGCACAATGACGGCCACCGGAAGGTACTTGAGCCGGCGGTAGGGGCCACGGCCGTCATCGGCTGGCTCGTGGCCATCCTCAAGCAGGCCGCAGGCTTCCACCTCGTTGTTGTGGCTCGCTCCGGCATCGGCAGCTGTCATATCAAGGAGGATGTATCGGGCGCCATGGTAGTACCACGTGTCGGCGGTGGTGTGGCCAAACTCGTGATCCTTGATCCGCATTGCAACTGCTTTCTCCACGTGTGTCAGGGCCGGTTCCGCAGCAGCACCACGCTTCTGGACAGGGACGTGGTCCGCATTCCACACCACAAGGCGCTGATTCTTGCGCTGTGCCTCCAGCATGATGAGCCGGGTATTGAGTGTGTGGCGTGGTTCGTTCCTCTGCAGCACGACGCGCGGCTCGAGGTGTGCCAGGTCGGCCAAGTCGACGATGGCGCGGCTGTTAAGGTCGTCGACCATCTCGGCTATGCGCTGCTCGGTGGCTGGCTCACCGCCAAACATAGAGGCATACTCTGTCAGGCGACGACCAGAGGGGCTGCTGTCCTGGCGCTGCTGCTTCTCCAGCAAGAAGACCGTCTTAGCCAGGGATCGGTAAACCTGGAAGCCCTCAAGTATGCAGCTCTGCGTCTGTGGGACGGCCAGGGGCCGGCGTGCTGCTGCTTCGGGTTGCTGCTGACCGCCTTGAGATCCAGCGGCGGCCTCATTAGGGTCGTCATCGTTGTCCTCCTCTCCGTGCAGAGGTTGCGCGGTTGGGACAGAGGGCGAGAACTGAGGGTTGCATTCCACAGCAGCGGCGTACTTGTAGAGGGGCGGGCCACCTGGCTTCGGGTGCTGGAACTCGTCGCCCGTGTTGGCGCTAGGACGGC